TGGACGAACGGACAGACACACGGGTGTGTGGGGATGGATGAATGGGTGTGTGTGTGAGAGGGGATGGACGAACGGACAGACACAGGGGTGTGTGGGGATGGATGAATGGGTGTGTGTGTGAGGGTGGATGGACGAACGCACTGACACAGGGGTGTGTAGGGGTGGATGGACGAACGGACAGACACAGGGGTGTGTGGGGATGGATGAATGGGTGTGTGTGTGAGGGTGGATGGACGAACGGACAGACACAGGAGTGTGTAGGGGTGGATGGACTGACTGACAGACCCCCTGACCTCCGGTTTCCCAGCAGCCCTTTGATCTCTTTCCAGAGATTTTTGCCTCCTGGTGTCTGGTTTGGGGCGGGGGACGCTGTCGCATGGATCTCCGGGGCCGGCGCCGGCCCAGACCCTGCACCTTCTGCCCTGGCCGGGGCTGAGACAAACGGGCCGGCTGGAGAGGCACCTGGGGGCAGGGGGACAGGCCGGGCGCGTGCGTGAGGAAGGGACTCCATGTCCCCAGGGTTTGGCCTTGGCAAACGGGGCCCAGACCAGGCCGGAGGGCGCGGCGAGGGACGAATGGGCAGCGGGGGGCACAGGCGGTGAGGCCAGGGGGGCACAGGCGGCGAGGCCAGGGGCCCGCAGCGAGCAGGAGCCGCAGTGCCGGGTGATGTGCATGGCCATCCCCAGCTCTAGAGCCCCCAGGCCACAATGGGCCGGAGCTGAACTCCCAACCCACGGCCCCCTGCCCGCGCCCCGCCATGGAGCTCCCTGAGCTGGGCAGGCAGCAGGGGTCGTCCTGCCCCCTCCCTGGGCCTGGGAGTGAGGTGAATGGGGCTCCCGGCTCCACCCATCTCTATTCCCTGGGGCTGGAATTGGGGGGCCGAGGTCCCAGAGCTTACAGAGGGATTCTGGTGGGGAGGGGTAGCAGCCAGTGCCCGCCCTCCACCCATGTCAGGGCATGGGGCATAGATCAGCACCCAGACACCCCAGGGGTGGGATGAGCCCAGCTGGGCAGTGGGGAATCTGCCCCCCAGTCCCTATCTGGCTGGGACCAGCTGGCCAAGAGCAGGGGGTGGAACTGAGCACCTGGCCTGTGCCGTGGGGCTGAGGTGCCCTCAGGCACCGGTCTGTGGGCAGAGGGGTCCAGCTGGCCCGGTTTAGCTTGGCCCGCCCACTGGGGTTGTCTGTTACACCAGTGATCTTCGTCCTCCTGGGCTCACACCGGTGCCACCGTCTCCAAGAGGCTTGGGGCAGGGGACCCCGCATTGGACCCCGCCCCCCGCGAAGCCCCAGCACCATCGTGAGGAACATACCGTTAGCCCAGTGGGGACACTGAGGCACAGAGCTGGGGGGTGACATGCCCAAAGGCAGCAGCAGCAGCTCAGGGCCAGAGCTGAGGATAGAACCCAGATATCCCGGCTCCCAGACCCCCTGCTCTAACCACTAGGAGCAGCTGAAGGAGTTCCCAGGGGCCTGGCCGGTGCCGGAGCAGAGCCTGTCCTTGAGGCAAGGCGGGGAGGAAATGCTCCGAGCCCCCCAGGGCTGCAGGAGGAGCAGCCTATATTTAGCCCCTTCCCATCCCAGAGGCTCCTCCATCACCTTCCCATACTTGGCCATTTCCCTGTCATTGGAGACCGATGGGGGCCCCCCTCCTCCCCGGTCGGCTGGCTCCAGAGTCCAGCCCGCAGCTGGGGGGGGGGGGATTCATTGTGGGCACCGTGGGGAGGAGACGGATGCTCCATCCTGGGGGTGGGGGGGTTCCAACCCCAGACCAAAGGTGCAGGGAGGTGCCCAGCCCACGGCCATCTGAGGCATGCTGTTTGTGGTGAGGAAGTGGGGTGGAGTAGTTAGAGCAAGGGATGGGCTCGGAGCCAGGACTCCTGGGTTCTGTTCCCAGCTTTGGGAGGGGAGTGGGGTCCAGTGGGTTAGAAGCGGGGGGGCTGGGAGCCAGGACTCCTGGGTTGTTCCCAGCTTTGGGAGGGGAGTGGGGTCCAGTGGGTTAGAAGCAGGGGGGCTGGGAGCCAGGACTCCTGGGTTCTTCCCAGCTTTGGGAGGGGAGTGGGGTCCAGTGGGTTAGAAGCAGGGGGGCTGGGAGCCAGGACTCCTGGGTTCTGTTCCCAGCTCTGGGAGGGGAGTGGGGTCCAGTGGTTAGAGCATGGGGTGGGGGTGGCTCAGAGCCAGGACTCCTGGGTTCCACCCATGTCCTAGTTGCATCCCCTCCTGCTGCTTCCTTTTCTCCTGGCGTAACGAGGTGCAACCCCAGGGGTGGCTCCACTTTTTCTTCTTGACAGTCACCCCATGGCCCCTTTAGAGCCACGAGCCGGACGTCCCAGCCTTACCCAGGTGCTGGGGGGCCTGGGGGGGGGAATGCCAACCCAGGCCAGAGCCCACCAGGCGAATAGTTTAGCCTGAGCCTAGTCAGAGAACTCGGGGGTCCCGTGCCCAGCTCGACAGACGAGCTGGTTCTCGCCAGCCTTGCTCCCACTGCTCGGGGAGCTGGATTACCTCCGCTGACGCATCTCCACCACAGTGGCACAGCCCCAGCGGTGCCGGGGCAGCGCAGCCACAGCCCGCATCAGCCTCAGTTTCCCCTCCCAGCCCGTGAGCTCTCGGCGGCAGGGCCTGCGCCCCTCTATACCGATCAACGTGGGAATGGATATTTCAGCCCGGCCGGCCTTTCTGAGAGTCCCCAGCTTTCAAATCCTCTCTACGGCTGGCCGGTGTCGGCATGGGGCAGAGGGCCCCATGGGGGCAGCAGTTGGGGCCCAGGGCCCCAGATAGGCTCAGGGCAATGAGGAAATCCTGCCCCAGGGCACGCGGGAGTGAGAAGGAGCCCTCAGAGCAGAGAGGAGCAGCCATGCGGCTAGCTGAGGCTGCTGGAGGCCAGAGCCCATCACACAGCCTGGCGCTGGCTGCGTTTCCCGTGCCCATCTAGAGTCTCTGGTCTGGTACGGAGATTGGAGGCTTGTGGGTCAGGCCTGCCTGTTTGTACAGCACCTAGCACAAACGAGGCGGGGGCATGCCGGGGGCTCCCAGCGCTACCGTAATACACCTAATAAATAACGCACAGCACCTAGCACAGTGGGTGCGGGGCCATGCCGGGGGCTCCCAGCGCTACCGTAATACCCCTAATAAATAATGCACAGCGCCTAGCACAAACGGTGCGGGGCCATGACTGGGGCGAAGCGCTACTGTAATACACATCGATAATAGCAGCCCTGCGACTCCCGGAAAGCCAGCACCAGGTGGCCTCGGGCCACCTTATCCTCAATAATTGCAGCAGAAGCCCTCCCCCCGCGGCCCCCGGCACCGGGCTCGGCAAGGGGGCTGCAGACGTGTTGCATACTTTTATTCAACCAAAGCTACAGAATCCAGGACAGACAGGTCGGGGGCCGAGCAACTCAGTTTCTCCTCGTTTTTTAACCAGCAACCTCCCCCTCCCCATCCCCCCGTGGAGAGACACGGGCCCCATCCTCCCCGGGGCGGCACTCAGCCGGGGCGGCGGGGGGGAGGGAGGTTAACAGAGGACAGACAGCGGAGTCTGCTCACAGAACGCGACGCATCGTCTCTACCACACACGGTACACGCTGCGCGCCCGCAGCCACATGCTGAGAATAGGCAAAAGAAACAGAAGGGCCCCGCGCCGCCCGCTGGCGGTGCCCGGGCAGGTGGAGCCGGCGGCGATGGCCGGGGGAGGCCGGTCGGCAGAGTTCAGATCCAGACGACGGCGCCGGGCTCTGGCGTAGCCGCATCCGGGACCAGGCCCCGGCGGACAGTCCAGATGGGGATTGGAGGGGTATATACAGGAGAGGCGGGTCCCAGCGGGAGCTGTTGTCCACAGGCAGGCAGAGGGTGCCAAGGCAGGTGTCCACAGAGGGCTGAGGCTTCGCCCGTGGGGGGCCGAGCCGTCACATAGCTCCGGAAATCAGTGCACAGCCGGCAGCGGCTCCGTCTGGGGCCCAGCAGGAACCGGAGAGGAGGGCGGCTGGACCCAGGGCCCGGTGTCGTGTGCGAGCCAGGGCCCCTCTTACACATACACATGTCTCATACAGTCACCGCAAGTGCACACCCTGATCTCACCCGCACAGTGCACACGCTCCACACGCAACCCCCGACCCACCCGCCTGGTACAGCCACCCCACCTTCACCTCCTGCACACACAACCCCCTGACCCCACCCACCTGG